GCCCTGGTTCTTGAGAACATTTGGGAAATGATTCAGAGAACAGGTGATCTGCGCATGCGCTCATGTGTATGTGTTTGCCTGTCTCCCTTCAAATAAGTAAAGCAAATTTCTGACACTTAATGAGCACATCCTTGATGCTAGCTGCCATGTTCACCTCTCTGCATTTCTTTTGTCATGGAAGTAAACATCTTAGAGGGGAGGAAGGCTTTTGGGGAGGAGACGTACACTGTGTCTATTTATGTTAGTTGGTTTGCTTGTTTTTCACAGCTGTACATTCTGTGTGAAATAAGGTGGTCTCTTTCTTCTTTATTTCATATTACCTTCCTCATTTTACACTGAACATCAAGGCCATGCATCTGAATAGATCTTGACAAAAGCGTTGTATGAGAGTGGCCAAAAGCCTTCGAGAACAGCATGATTAAACTGAAATGTAATGTCCATGTCCTAATCGCAGCAGGAAAGGGAGAAAGAGCAACATGATTTTAATATGTTGTATTCAGCATAATATATCCAAAATTTCATTTTCACGTAAATTCAACATGCAGACAAAAACATTCAAAATTATTTATTAAGTCTTTGAGAGCAAATATGCATTTTACATTTAGAAGACATCTCAATTTGGGTGCCAAATTTTCATCGTAAGTACTTTATCTGGGACCTACATTGTTATGCAATGGATTAAGCAGGTTTCATGTCCTGAGAGCTCCACTTCCAATCTGGCTCCCTACTAACGCATGTGGAAAAGTGGCAAAGATGGCCCAAGTACCAAGTAGTCCAGGCTTGAGACAGAAAGAGCCCCAACTCCTACTGAGCCAGGTTCTGCCTCTGTCCCCCTTTTGTCCTGACTCAGCACTATCAGATTGTGTTTTCCCTCTGAGGAAGAACCGCGGTTGGAGCTCACGGTTCTAATCCTGCTTCTCCTTTGTGAGCTTGGCCAAGTTCCTAATCCTTTCTGAGTCTTAGTTTCTTTATCTATGTGTTGAGAAACAGCAAGATCATTGGACTTCCTAGCATTATTGTGAAATGCAAATGCCTCACTTTGAGATTTCTCTGTAGAGCCACAAACTGTGAGTGAACTCTCTTCTGAGGAAATGAGGTTTTTCCAAGCAACAGACCAACATCAGATTAGCCTGAACTATGCAATCAGAACTCCCCCAAATGTGACCCTCGATACTTGAGGAAAAAGGACACCCCTCAAGATCTCTGTCTTGCATGAGGTGGAGATACCATAGTGCAGATCCTACCTACAGTGTATATGCAAATCATTGCATTAATCCTTCATCTTCAGAATTTTCAGGACCAGGAATTCTAGTTTAGGATCTCTTGGACCTTTATTGCCCCCCCTCCCTCCGCCCAATCAGGAAATTCCCAAAAGGATTTCAGTCACTCTTTTTCTGATATGACTGCACAATACTTCATCAAGGGCTCATGCTACTCCCCAGCTCATGTTGCCGCCTAGCACTCCAACCCTCACCCCTCCTTGTGCATCAGCTCAGTTTCTATCTGCTCTTCAGAGTCTTCTCTGCTCATCTCTGACAAAGCAACCTCAGAACCCTTGGAAAGTGAAGCTCCAACGGGCTGGACAATTCTTTGGGCTCTTAACCGCTACCATTTAAAATATCATTATATAAATGCTTTCTTATTTCTCTAGCTAGAGTACAGACTGAAATTATTCAGCAGTAATTTCTTGAGAACAAAGCATGTTGTTGCTTTTTAATCCCCTGGGTTTGCCTCACTGAACAGTCTGGGATTAGCTTTTACCATCAGGAGACTCTACACAAATGCTTGTTACCAGCTTGGTTGATTGCTCAAGGCCTAAGCCAGTCCACATAACCGCTTCTGCAGGATAGAAGGTCACAGTCTGGCCTGGCCCAGCCTTCCTCTCTGTCAACAGAACAGGGATATGGGGGAACAGAGGCTTCCAAGGCTTTAATAGTCACAGTCTTGTGTGTTTTTTGAGTCACAGGTAGTGGAGGTAGCAGGATGATGTTTGAGCCTTCCAAAATCATCCTCTGAAAATTTCATCTGAAAGGAAAATCAGCTGCTCCCTCTTTCCTGGGGGGTGTTCCGTATGGAAGGACAACTGGACCTCATCACACCTCTGGGCTCTCAAGAGCAGAAGCACATCAGAATTTCTGTCTGCCTTTCTGAGATGCCTGGATCTGACTCTGTCCTCCTCAGTCTTCTGTGGCCTTCCAAACCCAACAGTGGTGCAGACAAAGTCTCCTTTTGGAACCTACGGGCTTCAGATTTGCCTGTTCTATTTGTCCCCTGCACATTTACATAGTGTCCACCTCTCAGATGCCCCAACTCAGATGCTGGCCAAATGTTGTTGAAAGGGATTTAACTGACTATCCCTCATGCCATCCTCAGACACATGGTAAAGCAAATGTCACATATGGACACAACGATTTTTGTAAAAATGATTTTCACTGTAGTATTATATGAAATATTTAAATGTCCACATAGCAAGAATGCAGGTAGATATGAGGTAATATGTCCATGCAATTGCAAGCCATGCCACTATTGAAGAAAATAAAGGATATACATGCTGACATGAAACAAATTCCAAGATACATTGTTGGGAACTAAATCCAGGACAGCAAGTATTGTACGCTACCAGTTACATAAGAAAAACCTACACTTTAAAGGCATAGACGAGTTCTGGAAGTGTAGGAAAACAGGAGTCTGTATGCCAGGAAACCTCTCCAATGTATAGCCATAAGCAACTGGAATCTTGTGAGAAATCTCCAAGAACTCAGGGCAAAGGTCCTGAAGCAGCTGGGATGGGGAAAAATGGGCATAGAAGCTCCCTAATCCTCAAGCTTTGGTAATGGATCAAACAGAAGTGGGTTTTTTTGGTTTCTTTCATGTGCACACTGTGTAATTATTAGTGGCCTACTTAAAAAACACATTGTTCATTGACTCCTTTGCATGTGTACATGTAAGTTACATCCTGTTGCAAACCCTCCTCGCTTAGCCTATGTGACCCTCAATCTTTAAAACTCATTTGCTCATGATATACTTTGGCTATTGACCATCAGTCAGTAGTCCATGCGTGTGATTATCGACTCTGTGCACTAAGAGCCCTCTCTGCAGGACAGCAAACAGGGAGGAAATACAAAAAGTTGCCAGTAGCTGCCTCCAGGAAGGAACTGATAATCCTGAGAAAGATATATATTACTTGCTGCATTTATTTTTACTGCTGTATGTATACATTTTTTGTATTTTTTTCAGTGGTCAAAAGATCTTTTTCATATAAACTTTCCCCATATTTATGAAAAATAATTTCTCTCCTTGTTGTCCAGTCTGGATGCAGAATAGCCACAAAATCTCTTCTCCCCCTAAACCGTGGCTGCCATCTTATCTCTGTCGTAAGAAGTGCCGTGCCTGACTCCTTTGCAAGACAACGTGTGCTCCAGTGTGCATTTGTATTTCATGCACCTTGCACCCCTACATGCCTTTGATGCCACAGAGTTCTGCAGTTTTGCTTTCCCCTACACAGGTGGTGGCGGCAGTGAGGCTTTGTGGTCTCTGCACAGTCTCTCAGGAGCTCAGGCACTTCTTCACACAGAGTGGTGGGGCTTACCTTGGGGGTTTTCATCAACAACCAATCACACAAGATGATGGGGCTGTGTATGTAGTACCTCCCATTGACCATTTCGCAAAGCCCTGAGCCCTTGGGTCTTTTCTGCTGATTATATAAATCTGGCTAGTTCAAGATCTGCATGGGACATGTGAAAGGCCAGCAACAGCCAACGGCCAGTGACTTTGGTGTTTATCTGATCTGTTCTGACCACCATCATTTCCTGCTGTCTTTGCCCACTGAGCTACTTGACTCTACAGCTCAGCTCCTAATGTCAGCCTCAGATCTCCCAGGCCTGTATTTCCTTGGGTTTCAGCTTCTGCATGGGCCTTAATATATGTGGCCTGTCTGCATTTCTCACACAGGGGAAGTCAGCCTGGCCTGGTACAGTCAGGCAGGGCACACATCAACCCTCCTTCATGAGACTAAATGGCTGCTGCTGTTGGTTTTCTGTTTCCCAGATAAAAACAAGGCAGAAGGACCTTGGCAGCTTTCCACGAAGCCATATCCTTCTCCAGCAGTATTTAAATGGACAAGTTCTTATGAATGGCCTGCAAGCACCCTTTGGCTGCTGTAGAAAGTAAGAATGTAGCATATGAAAGATGTATATGTTTGATTCAGGCAAGGGATATAGGTTCTTTCCATGTAACAACACAGGTCTGTATAAAATTTACATCTTCAGACACGGGCTCTGTGCACTATCCCCTGTTGTGGTCTCTGAGTAAGTCCTCTTCCAGTTCACCCTCTTGTGTTTCCTGGACTTGGTCTTACACCTCACAACCTTATTGAAAGGTTTATCTTAAAGCCTTGGGCAACCAGTGTAGTGCCTGGCTCCTCTTGTTTCGTAGTCACCATTCAGCTGCCTTAAACTCTCCTGCAGTGTATTCCATGGGGAGCATCATCAGAGCACCAAATCTTACTAGAATGTGGTTTCTAATAGACTACGTCTTCTGGGAAGGAGTCACAGTACCTTTCTTATACTGTGTCTTTGTCAAACAATGTATACACACTAAGGGTAAAATTGGTCTTGCCTTGATGATAAAGCATGTCCTTTAAGTGAGTTTTCTCTCTTCTCAAAATATTTACTTATTTTCATTTTCCTTAAAAGGTAGGGAAACACACACACACACAAATTCCTCCATTCACTGTGTTTTTTTTTTCCATTAATACTTTTAACTGTCAGGGCTGGACCATGCCGGAGCAAGGAGTCTGGAACTTAATCCAAATCTCCCATGTGGTTGATAGAAACCATAGCATTTGAGCCATCATCTACTGCCTCAAAGGTTATGTACTAGTAGAGGGCTGGATGAGCATAGAAAGCCAGGACTGACTTCGGGCACACTGCTATGAAATGGAGACTTCCAAAGCACTGACTTCACTCCTGCTACACCAAACACCTGCCCCCTGGATGAGCTTTCTTTTCAGGGATGGGTTGCTTTGCACCATCAACTCTCATGTCTGCCCATGCCCTTTTGTGACCAGCTGGCCAGAAGTAGGGTGTAAGATATGGCAGAAAGTTGTTCATCTTCATGTGAGTCAAGCCCAACCTCTGATCTCAGAGAATATGCCAGCAACATCCCAAAAAATGTACCTCACAAAGGAGGACATCTTACTCTGCCCTGAAGTCACCATCATTTCCTCTTCTTGCTTTGGAAGATGAATCTAGGCAGGGAGAGGATCTAGGAATGCAGTCATTCCAGATCTGGGAGAATGGGAGCCACAGAACAGATTAGGAAACCTGAGAAAGGGAATCTCCATGCTAACATCAGCACCAACGGGCATTTCCATAACATTTGACAGATTACTAGTACCTGAGATGTGTTCTAGGAATGATCCAGCATTTCCATCCATTCATGTCCTGGCTATTAGTTTGGAGATAAAACTTAACAGATTTATGCTTATCATGATTGTGAGAAATCATCTTCAAAACAAAACATAGGCCATCAACAGATTTCCACATCCCTTCCTGACTAGGAACTTTCCTGTAGAGATTCCTGTAGCATCATCCACTGTGCTAATTCCCGAAGCAGATGCTGATGTGTTGGAGAAGTGAGAATGGCTCCAGCACCTAGGGATAAACATCAAAGTGCTCCAGCTCTTTGCGACTCAATCGAGCAGGGTTCTGTGCTTTAGGTGTTTTGCTTCCAACCTGTAGAAGAAAAGGAAAAACTTCAGACCTATTCGATAGGAGCTCCTGTGGAATATGAAACTGTGTCCCCATTTTACATATTGAGTAAATGAGGTTTGGAGTGGTAGAACAAAATCCTTAGAGCAGGCAACTAGTCTTAAGTCCAGTCCCACTGCTTTCAATTCTGGTGCTTTTCCTAACCACACTATGCTTTGTCCAGATCCCCAGTGCTGCTGAAGTCCACCCATTTCCTCTAGAAACCCATCCTGTTCAGCCAGCTTTCATGTTGGGCTTCAGCTGAAGTGCCGGGGATTGCAGCAGCAACCCACTCAACATCTCCCTTGTGACCTGTTACAACATCTTTACTGGACTGCAGATGGAGGTTGGGTGTGGTATGAGGCTAATGAGTGGGGGTGATATGCACACAGTCATTTCTCCAGGCAAGTGAGAAGTGTAGTTATACCAGTCATATACCAACATGTGGAGATTAGATAAAGCAATTCATGGAAGACACTGTCAGATTGCCTTATATAGCATGACCTTAAAGTTTGAGTCTTCTCTCGACTCCGACATGCACATTCATTCTCTAAATGACCTGAGGGGAACCAATTCAGCCACCAGGCATGGTCCCTTGTAGATCATTTACCCCAGCAGAAGCCTCAGAACACTCATGTCCTTGAATAATCCCCAATCTGATTTCAGGGAACTCATTTAGAATCACTTATCATCCACACACTGACCTCCTCCTGCCCTGATCCTCCCACAACATACACTCAAACCTTTGGAAAACTTGTGGCTCACAACCTGGGAACTAGCTTAGGGACAACCATAACGTGCAACCCGAGTCCAGTGAGAGTCCAACTTCATATGACCTTGTGGTACACGCCGACTCTCCTTGAGTCTCCATATATTAATCTCTGAAAGGAATAGTTGGTGTGCAGGCTTTTGTCACAGAGGTTAAGAAGCAACTCGGAGTACTCACATTCCATATCCAGGTGCCAGGATTCGGTCCCCGGCTCTGCTTCTGATTCTAGCTTCCTGTTAACGCATGCTATAGGAAGCAGCAGATAACAGCCCAAATACTTGGCCCTGCCACCTATGTGAGCATCCTAGATTGAGTGCCTGGATCTTTGCTCCTGGCTTTGACCTGGTTCAGTTCTGTATGATGTGAGCCTTTAAGGGGTCAAACAGCACATGGGATTTCTCTCTATCTGGCTTTTTCTGCCACTTTACATTTCAAATAAAATACATGAATTAAAAAATGAAGATTTGGATTAGAAGACCCTCCTTCTCCCCAAATGACTGAAACTCTAAAACTTTGTGGATAACCTTTTCCTAAATACCCCTGAACTGGATATCAGTGCTTTGTTGCAGAAACTAACCCACTTAAGAGAAGTTCCAGAATCCTACCTCATCGTAGATGGAGTAACTGACAGGAGAGCTGCGGGTCTTCTCCTTGGATGCAGACTAGAAATTCAGAGTAAGGAATTCTTCATTTCAGGTTTAATGACATTCCAGTGTGATGTGAGAGGTTCTAAAGGAGACTTGGGACCCAGAACCCCCCGGGGATGTTCTCAGCCAGACAGTGAATACAATCTCTCACTCAGGAATAAACACTGATATTTATGGTTTCCAAGAAAGGGAAAATGCATAGTTGCATATGAAGATACATCTGTCCCAAAGTCAGAGCTTAGCATCTCATACCCATATATGCATAAAGCAACCGTGCCCCACCCCACACACACATATACGTTCCTGGTGCAGTGTCTAGCAACATCTATACAGACTTGTACTGTGGTGCTTAATCCACCACTCACACTCTCATGGAAGGCGCACATTGATTCAAGGACTTATTGAAAGACAATGGATTAAAAACCTGAAAAATGTGTTCTAAACTGCATCAAGCATACAGTCCATGACTTGCATGGTTGCATGGACTTTCACGAATTCCAAGTTTCCCACACATCACATCAAGGTTCACAGCTTTATGCTGTGACTCCAGCCTTGGGAACACCACTCCTCCCATCCCTTCCCACACAAGGTAGAAAGGATGGCCACAGCCACCGGATTACCTAGCCCAGATCCAGGTACACATATGACCTCACTGAAGAAAAGGAGCTCAGTAGATGTACAGGCTCCCCTCTGTCAGGAGGCCTCCACTAGCAGCTAGTTGGCCAGAACCTCTGTTCCCTGAGGATCAACAGTGTGTTGCTCCGTGTCTGCTCCCCACCTCCAGCTCCAGGTAAAGCTCTGCCTATGAAACCTCTCCATTATCTCAGCCGTAGGGCCAGCTGCTCTTGCAAAATCCTGTGGTTCCTCTGCACAGACCACTTTCTTTCTAACCTTTGCCCCAGCAACCCCCTCCTCCCACATTCTACTCACAAAGAAAAAAAAAACTTGTGGAAAATCCTATTATTCACTAGTCATTAAATTTCAGAATTATTTCTTTTCTGTATATAGAATCAGGAAGGCATTTCTTGTTAGCCTCTTAACATCTAAAATCAGTTAATAGAAGCTCTTCATAAATACATACAATGGAGAACAAATCTATATACACACATTTTCTGCAAACTCATCCCTGCATGTGTGCGCGCACACACACACACATGCTTGCACACACATGCCAAACACACAGCTGCCTTAGCAGCACCTGGGAGGAAGAGGGAGAGACTCACCTTCCGGGAGGTCTGTACGAGTGCATACAGCGTATTTGATGCATTCGAAGCATCTTGTGGAACAGAAGCAGGTGCCTAATGAGAAGAGAAAGAAAGCCATTTCAGAATCATGGATCCAGCACAACCTTCAGAAGGTCATCTATACCTTGCCCGGATGGGAGATGTACCCAGTACTGAGAAGGACCTGGACTAATGGGGTAGTCAGACAACCTAAGAGCTGGTCCCACTTGCATTGAGGACAGTTACTTCATATGTACATGTTTGCTTTATCCTTGAGACCATTCCACAAGATGAGATGGCCACAGCTTACCTGTAGCACAGATGAAGCTCTCAAAGTGTAAGTAGCCCATAGAGACATTGCACACACAGAAGCAGCACTCAAACCCAACATTCTCATGAACAATTTTCTAAACATGCAAGTGCTGCTCTTTGCCCATGTGGATTTGGGCTAGGTGGTCTCTGAGACAAAAGTGCACCCTCGTTTTAAGATGCTCTGATCTCACCCTAATTCAGCACCCACGCCTGAGAGGAGCTCTTCTTTTCATTAACTGCACTTTCTCTCATTGGAGTTCCATATAGAAGAAGCAGAATTAGCAGTCACAGACAATTCCTATCAGGTTAATTCTTATCAATTCTAATCAGGTTTTCTTGGTTCTATAACTTAGCGAGAAAGTTTTTTAAAAGATGCTGCTGCTTCAGCTACCCGGCATTTTTTATTATTTTATTATTTTATTATTTTTTATTATTTTATGATACAGTTCCATAGTCTCTGGGCTATGTCTTACCCCTTCCTGAATCTGCTCCCCCCATTGATTGACCTCATATTATTACAATAGTATAGTCCTTCATAAGCAATCCTAAGTCCATCATTCTGCCATTGAAGTGTATTCTGATGTTGCAGGTACAGACAATGGCAGAGAGTCCAGCATCCTATTGTCAAGATATATTTAACAGTTTCATTGGGAGTCCATCTTTGATTTGGAAGTCGAGATGCATACTACATTGTATCTTCACATCTTGATGTGATAGTCTCCATTACAGTTATTATATATCCCCCCCTTAAATGAAAAGCTATAAAACAAAAGCAGCAACACGAAGAAAAACAGAAAATTACAACAACATGAAGTTGAATAACATGCTACTGAATGACTAATGTGTCTCTGAAGAAATGGAAAAGAAAATTAAAAAAAATCTTGAAGCAAACGATACTATTGTATGAACTATGAGTCAGTGAAGAAACTAATAAGAAAAAAAAAACTTTTTTGAAGAAATAAAAATAAAAATGTCAAAACCCATGAGATGTAGCAAGAACATTGAAAGGGCCATTGATCCTGTGTTTTGCATGAAGGTTGCCTTATATCAGAAAGAACATATGCTATTTGTTCTTTTGAGATTGATTTATTTCGTTGTGCATAATGGTCTTTAGTTGGGACCACTTGGTTGCAAATGGTAAAATTCCATTCCTTTAGCTCTTCCCTCTCTTTCTTGTCAATCTCCCACCACCTCCATCCATTCCTGCCCCTAAGGTTAAAAAAAAAATCCATTCCTTTAAATGGCTGAGTAGTATTCCATGGAGTAGATGCACCACAGTCTCTTTATCCTCTCCTCTTTTGATGGACATCTGCATTTGCTATTGTAGATTGGGCTGCTGTAAATACAGGATTACAGATCCCTTTCCTCATAAATTTTTCATGACACGGTTACTACCTAACATTTTTCTAATTTTTATTAAGATATTTTTATCACTGCCACAAGGTGGCAGTATTTTGACCAAAAGCGTTAGGTTATCAAGACTGCCAATATTACAGGAGGCTTCTCCAGCTCATGAGAGAATTTCTGTAATCCCAGAATGCTAGGCGCGAACTAAGAGGATGGAGAATAGGGACCCATGAATCACCTGACTTATCATTGTCACTACCAAGCTATGTGGCCTGAAGCACACTGAGTTAACCTGCATCTCAATTTCCTCATCTGTGATTTGGGATTTAAAGCACATGTGAAGTATTAGAACCAATTCATCAGGATACATGATGTTTATTAAGAAAATGGGTATTACTTTAATATACAATAAAGCAGAAGGGACCAAGACAGCTCTATTCTTTGCTGAAAACTGGAGAAATCGAGAATGAAGATTTAAGAAAGAAGAAGAGGACGTACAAGGGTTTGAAGTATCAGAAGCAGCAGGAAGGGAAAACAGCGACAGTTCTCTCAGGTGTTTAACTCTCCTCCTGTGGCTTTACTCGGCCAGACTGTATCAAGCATGAAGAAAAGATGCCTTTTCCCAGCCTTCCCAGCTCTGTTCATCGCCACATGGGAATTTTCAAATAATTTCTTAAGGCCATTTAAACCAAGCTGACTTCTGGACTCCAAGAACCCTGAGGTCTCATCCTGCATTTAAAGCTGCACATCTAAAGAGTGCATTAGGGGGCCCTTGGAATGGGTACAGACAGATTAGGATCACCAGAGTGGTACCTGAGCATGGATCATGGAGTAGATGGTGCTCCCTCCTGGGGGTTTCTGCTGCTCCTCCTCTTGCACCCGATGCTCCTGCTGCTGCTGCTGCTGCTGCTGCTGAAGCTCCTGCACAGACATGGGATAGGGTCGCTGGAGTGATGGGAGCAGGCAAAGACAGCATAAAGGAGATGCAGTAACTCCTGAGAGGCTGGGTGTGGGGAGCTGGCAGCAGGGAGGGAGACAGGGGAAAGCAATTTGTAGAGGAGCAGAAAACAGGTTGGAAGGGCCTCACACGACCCCACCCAGGGGATCCTGTCTCTGCCTTTGCCTGGTGATGTAGAAACTCTTCCTTGATTTCACTCATGTCTCCATGAAATTGACCACACAACCATCAATAACCAGCTGAGCTGCAAGAAGGGCTGTTACCTGAGCTTCGTCTCAGGGTACCAAAATTCAAGATTTAAACACTGTAAACCCTTCCCTGGCTCCAGACTTCATGGTCAGCATTCCCCTGGGCAGCTACAGGGCTGTGTGGAGGCTTGGACCCAAGGCACAAGGCAGGAGTTTCCTTCTTCCTTCTTCCCTCTCATCAAGCTCAGACCTAAGGGAGTTACTTAGTATAACTAGGACAGAAGGGTTTGGCCACGTGTGCTTTCTCTGCAAGACTACCTCCTGCAGCCAGATGCCAGGAAGGCACTTCCTCCCCATCCTTGCTGTTCCTTCATACAGCAGTTTAGAGGCACTAGGAGACAAGGCCTGCCCACTGTCCTCTGCCACGAAGCTTTACTTGCTCAGGGGCACAGTGATGGAGACATCTGCTGAGGAGGTATCCTCTTCTGCAGCCAAGGATGGTGGGCAGAGTTGGCCGCTGCCTGCAGCGAGCTGGTAAGAGGCCTTCTGCTTTGGGCTTGGTTGGTCATTCCTTCTAGCACTTCAGCCAGCCTCAGACCTCTTCCTTCCAAAAGGGTATGAGTGCAAATTACTGAGCCAGTTACAGAACTGTTGTGGTTTGGCTGTCACGCCACCCCAGCTTACGTAATAAGTCAGAGACCATGAAAGCAACTCCAGGCTTCCTAGGAAGGTGAGAGTTTGTGACTGACACAAAAAAATTTTTTCAAAGTAGCATTCCTCCTGGCACTACATCCCAGTTGATGACACTGGGCAGAAATGAGGGTGCCATGGCATAATCTGGGAAGGAAGCAGCAATGGGCTGCCCTCTGTTAATGATTTCTGACATGCTCCATCCCTTCTTGGCAAGCGCATCTGCACCAAGATGCTCCCTCCCTTGCCACTCTATTTACTCAGACTTCTGTTTTCCGCTTCTCCTCATGACCAGAGCCAGAAAGCTGTGCAGAGAGAAGACAGCTGGGGACGGCTGAGGGTCCCTTGCAGAGGACAGCTGAGCAGCTCTCTGTGCCTGGTCTGAATGCCCATCCCACAAAGAGCGTTTTTCCAAACCCATTGAGAAAGACTCCAGCCCCTACGATGCCATACTTGACTTCTCATTTTCAGGTCCTTGATATCTTCATAAACTGTCAGAAATTCCGTGGGGCTGGTCTCTACAAGAGTAGAAAAGCAAAGAACACAGTTGTTGGTACTTCCACAGGCCTTTCTGGCCATGCTTCTGCTTTTGCCAGGTCCCTGCTCTAAGGCAACTGGCCAAGACTTTAAGTCTAGAAAGGAGACAGGTTGATGCTGTATCCAGGACATAGTGGAGCAACCAAACTTGACATGCCTCTTCCATCAGGCTGGGCAGGCATCCCTCACACTAGCCACCTACTGGTAAAGCTGGACATTGGGGGTTAGACTAAATGTACAACAGCCACCACTGAAGACATAAACTGGGAGAAAGGGCCCAGCAGTGGGGCTGTCCTCCCCAACCAAGCACACACACCCTCCTCAAGGAAAAGGACACGCTGTGTTCCCAGGACACAGGACCAAGATCCTGAGTTCCAATGCTGCAGGCAATGGCACCCCAATGACCTTCCACTTACCCGACTGCTTCCTCTTCCTCCTCCACACACAGAAACAGATGACGGCGCCAAGAAACAGCATGGTCAGAATCACGATGACCACCAAGAAGGGCAGAAATTTGGATCCTAGGAGACACAGAAGACTGTGCTCTCAGAACTTCCTCTTCCTCCCCTCCCCCACCTGTCCGCTGCAGGGACCATCTCAAATCCCACTCCCCTCTTTGGTGTTGACCTCATGCCTTACGAATTCAACAGTGAGGTCGTCTCTTTGCTGAGTAGCTCCTAAGGGATGCCAAGGTGGGGGGGGATTTCTATCCGACAGATCTGTTTTAAATTCTAACTTTGTAAGCTCTGTGCTACTTGCTTAATGCCATTCAGCCACAGTTTCTTTCCTGTAAAAAAGATGATTTGTCTCCCTATGTGGGTTAATTACAAGATCTAATATTAAGGTGCTTCAGGAAGTGCACAGAAAATAGAATTAAAAGACAAAGATTTTTTGTGCAAAATGTTTTTGAAATTTGTATGTTGTTTTTCCATAATAAATACTGTTCATAAACTTTTAGAAAACCTTCTGTATGTATGGATTTCAAAATTTTTACCCCAAAGGTAAACTAGAATTTATTCCCATCTTCTATGAATCTCTGAAGGTACCCATATAAATGCAAAGCACCTGGCACAGCAAATGTGACATCCATCCATTCACTAGCTTTTAGTGGGGCCTGATGCCATGGCATAGTTGGTTAAGTTTCTATCTGTAGTGCCAGCATCCCATGGGGAAATGGTTTGTGTCCCTGAATGCTCCATTTCTGATCCAGCTTCCTGGTTGTGGCCAAGGAAAGCACAAAAGGATGGTTCAAAAGCTCTTGTCTCCTGGTTTTGGACGGGTCCAGCTCCAGTTGTAGTCATTTGGAGAGTGAACCAACAGATGGAAAACTCTCTTTGTATCTCTCCTCACCAAGTTAGTGGATGATGAAATCATGACTGATAAGATCCAGAAGCCAGTGTCCTTGTCACTGTCTTAAGTGACTTCATATTTGCTTACTAGTACTTAGTTTTATATGGCCCCAATATGGCTATAGCTTCCTTAAGGACAAAAACTATGTGGATTCGTGTTCCTATAATGTTGATGGCATTAAATCTTTGTTTATCTGATAAAAAGTGGTGCACATTTAATTCAGATAACCCTCCAGATGAACATATGCAATAAACCAGAATTCTCCTAAATATCCCTGGATTCTTCTGGAGTCCAAGAGCCATTGCAGGAATGAGTCACCAAACTACCGTGTATGCCTGTATTAAAGATCAACTTGCCCCTCCAGAAGGAGACAGGGATTAGATTCATCCTTGACAAGGGCAGGTCTGGCTCTGCAGACAGAAAGGCCCCTGGGGAAATGCTATAAGGCATTGGGAGACAAAACCAAAGGATCTCACATCTGGACTTCTTTCCCAAGAGCCTACTTATGCAATCCAACACCTCCAGTCCCTGTTACAGGCCGAAGTACTCCACATACCCTGGTGGGCACTCAGGCAGCCCTGGTTAATGGTGATGGTGTGATTTGCCCAGCTGGCAGGGTTGCTGACATTGCAGGTATATGTGTTATTGCTATTAGCATCACTCCACAGTTCCACGTAGGTGAAGTTGCTCTCCATTTGGAGCAGTTCACCATCTCTGTACCAAGTGTAGTTCACGTTGCCATCCATAGAAACCAGGCAGGACAGAGTCAGTTGACATGTTCCTGTCTCCAGGGTCTTCCAGTCCTCCTGTATGTCGGGCCTCTTGACACGATCTGGAAGCAGAGGTGATAATCAGAAAGATTCTGAATGACTGAATAGACTAGACCTACAGGAATCAGAGGGGCAGAGTGACAAGTCCTGGAGACTCACCAAACACGGAAACATTGAACTGGACTGTATAAACAGTGCCATTAGTATAGGTGATTTGCAGTATGTAGTGACCGCTGTCCTGCTTCTTTGCTGCCTCAATGTGAAGAGTCCAATTTTCCTTTATACATGTAGCAGTGAGATGAATAGGAGGAGAAAATTTTTCGAACATACTATTTTCTTTTTTCCAATTACATATGGCCTGAGTCTTAGTAGAGAAGGATTGGTTCACCTTCCACATTAAAGAATCCAATTCTGTCTGTGTCTTGAAGGATTGGAGGCTGTAACTGGAGAGGCATTCCCACGACGCCATTCTTTTGGATAGTATCACCTGGGCGTTCTATAGAAAAGAACCCAAGTTGAAGTGAAGATGGCAGGAAGAACAGTGTGGACAGTTGAGTGTGGCTTCCTTTAAGACAAGAGGACTGAAGAGGACTGGGGACAATTTAAAGAGCTTTCAGTGTGCTTCTCTGCCTCCTTTCTCCCATGTTGTGTTCTTCTTATGTGAAGGGACCAGCAGATCAATAGTACAAGCTGAAATCTCTCAAGTAATTACTATGCAATGAACATTTTTCAAACACTTTAAATGTTTTAAGTATTCAACATTACAATCATCCTAGGAACTGCTAACCTCCTTTTTATAGGTGAGCAAATTGAGTTCGAAAGAAGTTAAGTAAATGGCCCAAGTTACACCACAAGAATGCTGAGCTTGAAATTGTCAACTTGTGATTTGAGGATAAATCCATAACCATGGCATCATAAACCTCCTGTCTGATGTGACTGTCTCCCAACAGCACAGAAATAATAACAAGTGGGCCCAACTGAAAACCATTATGCTAAGTTGGGCCCACTTGCCACAAAAAATTTATTTCATTTTTTTAAGAAGCTGAATAGTATTCCATAGAGTAGATGAATCATAATTTATTTATTTTGTTTTGATGAACCATAATTTATACGGAAGTGTCTTGAATGTGTTTATTCATCAAGGAAATGTGTGTTAAAACGAAAGCATCAGCCTGTTGTCTGAAGTAGAAAAGAAGGATCCACTCAGGGGAAGAAAAGTAGGTGGAAATGTAGCTTCAAAGGTTCTCTGAGGACAGGGAACAAGGCAGAAAGTGAACACTTCGTGCAGGATATTAGCGATCAAATAGTTAAGTGAAAGTAGAAAACCAGCTGCCCTTAGTGACTGGCAGCATTACAAAGAAATAGATTCATACCGTGAAGAACAAACTTCTTAAGCTATGCAAAAGAAAAATACACTCAAGAGGCAAATCCAAGCCAGTGGGATGGAAGAGTTGTTAATAGAGTCATACACAGAGTGACAAATATGCCCGTCACATTCAACAAAAAAGTGGCGAAGAGTAGACACGCTGGAAGATGCAAGACAAACTGTCAGTCACATTGTCAGTGGTTGAAAGGGTCAAGGACAAAGCCCCACAGAGAGGAAGCCACATCAACAGATGTGCATTTCATCAGCCAGGCATGAGGCTAGTAAACTTCCACCCCAGCTAAGTCACTGATGGGCTGAGAATACAGGGGATCTGAAATGGATCAGCTAAGACAGACAATGGTAACAGAAGCAACCACGAACTTGGCAAAAGCACCAATTCAGGTGAGGCTCTTGGAAAGCTGAGAGCCTCTGGCCTGTTGAATGTTATTTGTCTGTCTGTTTGTTTGTTTTTTAAGATTTATTTATTTATTGCAAAGTCAGATATACAGAGAGGAGGAGAGACAGAGAGGAAGATCTTCCGTCTGATGATTCACTCCCCAAATGACCACATGGCCGGTACTGTGCCGATCTGAAGCCAGGATCCAGGAACTTCTGGGTATCCCACACAGGTGCAGGGTGGGTCCCAAGGCTTTGGGCTGTCCTCAACTGCTTTCCCAGGCCACAAGCAGGGAGGTGGATGGGAAGTGGAGCTGCCGGGATTAGAACTGGCACCCATATGGGATCCTGGCGCGTTCAAGGCGAGGACTTTAGCCACTAGGCCTGTTATTGTCTGTTTTAAGGGATGCTGACCTTAGTAACTTTCACCTTGTTTGCTGAGATGTTATTGCTTTTTTAACTAATAGATTGTTACCAGTTACCACCTCGCTCTTGTGCACGTAGCATGGTTTTCACCCTGCTCTTGTGCATGTAAAATGATTTCTGCATATTCACTTTAACTATAAAAACCCTGTTTTTTCCTCCTTGGTGCACTATCCTATGAGATAATTGTTGCCCTGCTTTATAACAAATTTATTTTTCTTGAAAGGTTGAAGATTCTGTGTTCTTATTTAAAACATCTGGCACCTGGACGCAGGGCTCAACTGGCAGAGGAAAACCAAAAGGTTATTGGAAGAAAAATGAAAAGGCTAGTAGAACTCCAACTGAAATGCTCAAGGTAAGTGACTCTTGGCAAATCACGGGAATTCATTGTCATTCAGAGAACAATACATAGATCTTTTACTGGGGCTTTAGAGGGGCTCAGGATTATAAACCTCTCAACGTACATGCGAGGATCTCTTTCCACTTTTAAGTAAGCACTGTCACTTGTTTCAACCAACTGTCAAATATGTGTTAAGCTATACGGTGTGCAGAAAGTATTGTGGGCTTTAAAAATATGAACCTTAAGCCACTACAGCTAGATTCTGAAGCGTCTAGCTTCTCCAAAAGAGCATGCCTTGAGAGGTTGTCAGTCCACCGACAAGTTTCAAAAATGGTCCCTGCTGCCCTTGCCCCCTCCAGGACAAAGAAAAAGCAAAAAGCAGAGCTCAGAGGTTCATGCTGGATCGCTAGCCTCCTCCTCAACTGAGGAGCAGCAGTGAGAAAATAGCGATGAAATATGGGACAAAATATGTGCTAACTAATAAATCTCAGTATCAAGTATTATTACAGAAACTTTTAAAAATAACCAGTGAGCCTGATCATTTGAAACTAACAAAACCTCATAAGCTTGCTGCAGCTTCAGCTGCTCATAATATTCTGTGGCCGTGTCCCCTCCTCCAGCTCCCTGGCCCTCACCAAGGACGTCACTTTCACTTTCCGAAGCTTAGCCTCGGGTTTCTCCTCTCTCTGCCTATCCTGTAACTGTGAGGTGGTTGAATGATGTAGAGGCTGGTCCAGACTTTCCAGAGTGAGCTGACCTTTTAAAATATCCCTACATGAACACTAATGTTTTTAAGGGATTTAAGAAAGCAGTGACCATGTATGAGCTAAGGTTGAAGAGGCTGGACAAACTCCCTTCTCATTTGTAAAAATGAAATAAGGAAAATAAGGAACCTGATGTGGATTTCTTAGCTTGACTAAAAAACTGTGCTATAAAAAGGATTCTCTCAACCAAGCATTCGAGATTTGCTTTTACAAACCCTGGTTTGTGAAAATGCAGATTCTGAGTGCCAACATACTTTATGTCCAATTAAGGCTGCTAGGGGCTTTATGACTGGTTATGGAAGGACCTGTATGGATTTGGTCAGAGTCCTATAAGGCTAATTTATAGTCTGCTACCCTAAAGCATTAGGCTAAAGCAGAATTGACTTAAATGTTATAATTGTGACAAGCCCAGACACCTTCAACAACAATGCAGAGCACCTCTGCTGTTAACTCAAAAATATGGCACTAATACTGCTAAGGATCACCCCCCTAAAATGCCACAGAGGCCTACACTTGACAAAGGAATGTGTATCTAAAACTGATTGTGATGGCCAATGCCTATAACCAGGAAACTCCTGGCTGGACCAGCTCCAGGTCCCAAGTAATCAGAGGTGCTTGTAAAACACCAATATCCTATTCAACTTGTGGCTATACAAGAGTAACGAACTTAAAACCTGGTGCTGCTGGAAGTGCTAAGTAGACATTAATATCTCTCAAAATTTCACTGTCACTCCTGTGTCTCTTCACACTGTACTCCTCACCCCTACAGGTGGAAATCTTCAAGAACAAAGTTCTAATCAATTGTGGCAAATGGATGTTACTCATATGTCTCTTTTTCCTAAGGACTCATTTGTTTAAACTAAACCAATGTGCTAATTCTTATCTACAACTTTTTATGCTATGATAATATTTGTGTTCTCTAAGTTTTCATTTTTTAAAAATATCTAAAAACTTACAGAAGTCTAATTCAACTTTGTGTACCTTCAAGAGTTTCCTAACAGGTGAAGCATATTGGTAAAATGTAGGTCAAAATGCCAGAAAAAGATGAATGTTTACAATTTTATAAATGTATCCAGATTATTCAATGAATATCTTGTAGGATAATTTATATTACTAATAAAACTAAATTATAGATTTTCAGTTTAATGGATATATTCCACAATAATGACATTTTTTTTCCCCTCTGAGAGTTTCAATTCAGACTGGATTATCATGGCTGACTTTTCACTTGCTAATTTCTAGTGGGCACTGCTATTACCAAGCTTGGTTAATAAAAACTCCTTAGTAAATCCTAATTTTTCTGACATCTCTCTCTTGCACCCTGCAACATCTTAGAGGCCTCATTCAGAAGGCAGTGGCTGTCCTGTGTTCTGGAACTTATCTTGATAATCTGCGGAACCACCGTGATGATTAATGCAGCCCCAAAATTTACACTGACATTTATATCTCACCATCTGATGTTTGTTTTGAGTACTCATCTGGGACTCAAGAGGGCTGGATGCAGCACAGCTTCTTGAGTCAGGGTCCATATGAGACATCGTTATGGCCCATTCCGTTTCTAAATTGTGTGTGGTGGCAACCTATGTCTGTCTTAATGTATGTCTTTTTGTTAAAACTATTTGGTTTAACAGGTCCAGTGTCAAGATAACTGGTTACCAAAACTTCTTCTTACAATCTCCCAGGATGCATTTTATAAAATAAAAAGAGATGTTGTTTTACAATAACACTAGTTGGCCTCAATACTCCTTTAAGATTAAACGAAAAATGGTCACATAATGAATCTTAGTTTTATGCCACTCTTTTCCAGTTAGAGTTATTTTAGGCAAAAAAAAAAATTAATTGTCAGTAAACATTGTATTTACTGGTCAAAAAATGCTACACCTTTTACTTATTATAATGAACTCTTAAAGTTTTCCTGTAACAATAAAGAAATTATTTAAAAAGACAGATGTACTTGTCTAATCTAAGTTCCCTAAGTCATCTTGGCACAATTAAGTATAAATTGGACAAAGATAAAAGACTATTTGGGTCTGTTTCAATACCATATAAACTAACAGGTGCCTCTTGTCAGTTAATAAATTTTATAATTCCAGGCATAACTATTTAAAATCTAAATCTACCTATGTTTGTAAACCATGTTAAAAATTGTGGCAAACTCATGTTACTAAAAATAAAAGGAATTCTAAATCAATTGACTATAATTTAAA